CACTGGTTTGATTTCACTTCCGGACAGACTGTACCTTTTTTGCCCCTCGCTCATCTGGCGAATGGATCTGTGAGACATGAAAGGCTTTTCCCCATCAGACTTCAAAAGACGTCACTTGAGTGAACAATGTTCTTTCTGTGTAAGGGAAAATATGCCTGAGGAGTTGAAGATGCTAACTAGTACAAGAGGTTTCTCTCAGATGGTACTGTGGAATGGTACAGAGGTCAGGTACAACTCAAGGAGCTTTAGTTCAAAAGGCTAACTCAACTTTCAAGAGCTGCTTAAATCAAAGGTGCCTCTTTGATGTGCTTAGGCAGTTGCCATATGTGACTTCATCAGATATTGCTGAAACAACGACACAATTCTGAGCAAATTATGTAAAATATATTGAAGATCAATGTCTTGATAATGATAAGGAGCTAGAGGGAAAATTGTACCAACCAAAATAATATTCCATTGTTTAGCAGAAAAGAAAGGATGTGGATTTAGAAGCATTTTTGAATTTTCCATGTTTGCACGAATGGAGCAAGCATCTAGATGTAGAAACAATCTATAGTAATTTCTCCTGATTCAACAAACATTCTAATGAGTTCTTACCTTTAGATACAGTATTTTTGAGTAAACACAATTGCGTATATTTTGTATGTGTATGTCTATTTTCTCTGAAATGTACAGTTTCCAAACCCTTTTATATGAATTTACAACAGCCTATTATCATTAATGCTGATCTGTTGCACTGTAGCTTATTCTGTTCAGTGCCTGACTGTGGAGCCAGAGGTCAGGAGTTCAGAGTGTGTACCAGGAGGAGACCCAGCCTGTATAGCTTTGGGCAAGCTGCACAGTCCCAGGACACCGCGATATCCCTGGAAAGGGTCACCACATGTCAGTTGCAGCAAGTTGCAAAAAAAAAAAAGTGAACACTAATAAGATTCTAGCCAATTATTTAGGAATAACTAATAATGTGAGAAAAGCCTCATTGGATCAGATAAATAGCCTATTTGCTCAAGTTTTCTATTATGAAAAGCAGCAGCCACAAGTCTTTGGGAAAATCCACATGCAGGATCTGAAGAAAGTCTAGCATCAGACATTTATACATGCACAATGTCATATCACTAGGGCTAATAACTTTTGATAGATCTCCCTTCTTTACATTTCTCCAATTTCATATTACAACTCTCTAAAGCTAATGGGCATCATCAAGTTTTGGGGTAGTAAAATACCTTTCTTGGTTGTCCTTGTCCTATTGCCATTCAATTTCTCCTGGTGACATGTTAGCTTCCCCCATCCATGGTTTGGAAATTTTGGTAAAAATAGTTCTGCATAAGATAGCCAGAGCAGACTTTATTTTTGGAGGCATATTGTTTTTCTAATTTGTGCAAACTGAACTCACAAGTCTTCCAGAAGCAGCTATCGACAGGATGATATTCGAGCTAGTAGACTGTTTTTATGACAGCTCTTTGTATAAGAAAGTTCTGTGGAATACAAGTAAGAAACATACAAGATTCTTTTACATAATCTCTCTTAAGAATATGGAGGAGTAGAGGTATGTAGCATGAGAAGTCAACTAGGAGTGCTTCCAAATAGAGGGCTCCTCGTGCAAATGATCAACAATTTTTTTTCCCAATCTGAGCAGATTTTTTAAATGCAAGTGAAAAATACCGATTCGTGGAAAAACATAGGGATATCACAAATGGATCACAAGTGGATGACAAGTTCGTCTGGCAAAATGCCATGAATGGGATATAGTAATTGCATAATGAAGGCATTCTAAGGTGGTAGGCCTCTTCTGCACACTTACTTAGGAGTAAGGGCCATTAATGAGGCTTACTTCCCAATAAATATTCATAAGATCACGGCAACTAGGTTTGTTTTGTTAAGAACTGGTAGGACTCAAGAATTAGGGCCCCTCCAGTGCTAAATACAACATTAAAAATATACTAGCGGAATGGGGAAATGAGGGCTCTCTAGATGTTGGACTATAGATTCTATCAGAATTTATCCATCATTTCATATCTCTTTAAGAAGGAGGAAGAAAAAGAGAAAACTCCAACAACTTCTGGAAGGTCATGGGTTTCCTACTCCAGTAGGGTAGATGCTCAGTGCAAATGTTAGAGATGACTCCAGTTTGTCTGCACTTTGGTGGTGGTGAGGCAATTTCCCACATGTCACCCTGGAGGATAGCCACATGAAAAAGAAGATGGCTTCTGTACATTAATAAATGGCTGGAAAAGGGAATTTCAGTGGCTCTACCTTTCAAAACAAGCAAAAATTCCTTCTGGCATACAGCTATCAAGGATATATTGGCAAGGTACACTTTGAACAAGAAAGGTGATAGACGCCAGAGAGAAGTGTGAAAAGGAAGGAAGTGACATCAGCAACCTAAAATAGCAATCTAAGATCAGCAGGGGTCAAAGCAGACTCTTTCTTTCAGTCTAGGAAACCTGAGGAAGTTGTTTCTCCTTTCGCCATGCAAAGGCATAGTTCTTCTTGAGTGCAAGCTAAGTTGACATCCAGTCACTTTCAACCAACATGTGGCCCTGTGTATCATACGATCAGCTTGATAGCAACATTAACTCAACTGATTTCAAATGTACAATGTCACACACATATGTAAATATGTCCTAAAATCTCTCTCTTCTATATGCACTTGTTTGAAATACTTGTAAATCCTAGCTATATCTATTAAGGACTAATTCTTATAAAGTTCTGTATAAAATTATAACCCTGCAGTTTGGTAAAGCATGTTTAAGACTTCAGCCTTAATTCACTCTGAGGCCGTAGTCAATACAGTTTGGATTTAGCTTGAACTTTATGCTAGCATAATTGGGGTGTGTGAATAAGAAAACTGAACAGCACAGGCCAATCACGTTACGGGCTATCAAGTTGAAACCATCTACAGTGGGGTCTTGACTTGAGAACTTAATCCGTATTGGAAGGCGTTTCTCAAGTCAAAAAGTCTGTAAGTCAAGTCTCCATTGACCTACAGTGCATTGAAAACCGATTAATCCCGTAACAGGCCGTTTTTGTTCCATTTTGTTTTTTTTTCTCGTCTGTAAGTCAAATCTCAGTCTGCAAGTCAAAACTAAATTTTGCGGCCAGAGAAGTCTGTAACTCAAAAAGTCTGTAAGTCAAGCCATCTGTAAATCAAGGGTCCACTGTAGTAGGAACCCTAATACAGCCTTCAAGGTAAGTGAGATTTTTAAGTGGTTTTACCAGTATCATCTCCACCTTAGTGAGTTTCCATGGCACAGCACAAATTCAAACCCAGGTCTCATGAGTCTTAGTCTATCCACTACGCAAGGACAATCTTAAATTTAAAAAAGTGGTATTACAGCCCCCTCTGAAGTAGAGTGGCCAGATTAAAAAAAGAGAGAGAGAACAGCGTTTCTACACTTTTAATAGTTGTGGAGGAAATTTCAGCAGTTGAACATGCATGACCATGTACACCTGCTGAAATTTCCTCTAATATGCTATTAGCAAAGGTGCAGCAGCAGCCTTGATGAAATCTGATCACTGTATTTCCAATTTACAAACTCCAGCAGTGCTTGGTCAAAAATTTCTGAATACTCATTGGCAACGTGTGAAGTTGATGTCCTTTCCCTGGTTTTTTTTTCTCTGTAGTTCAAAGGTTTACTGCCCCTGATCATGGAGGGCCCGTTCAATTCGCATGGTGGGACACTGTGGATCAAATACTGAATGCCGAGATATCTTCCCTTCGTAAGAAAACAGAATGAGTTTTCTCATTCCATAGTCAAGTTTTACTATTTCGCCTGGCAGCGCTCGTTAAAACAAAAAAAACGCTGAAACGATAACTGCGCTCAAGTTAAATGCGTTCATGTTTGTCCGGCTCTGTATTCCTCGGTGAATAATTTCAGTCTAAGCAACAGTAACGACGGCGATTACTTTAAAACACACAGATCTCCCCTCTCCTTCACCCCGTGGAAATCAAAACACAGATTTGCAGCAAGGTGCGGGTATTCTCTGGTTTGCGATTGGACAAAGCAGGCCAATGAGCGCCCAAGAAGGAGGCAGGGCTTTATAGGCGGCGGCGAAGGTGGGGGGAGGTTTGCGACAGTGCCTGAGTGCGAGAGAGAGATTAACCGCTGAGAAGGCAAGAAGTTGCTGTAGTTGTTTCTTAATTTTGCTTTTTTGGCTTCATCCCCCGGCGCTTCGGAAAGGTAAGGGCCGGCGATGGAACGCTGATCCTTCCAGAATTCTATTTTGGAACGTTGCTTACAACTGCTTTGGAGGCACGTGTTTCTCCGCTAGTTTGGTTTTCGAAAGGAAGTACGAGTCGTGTGTAGGATTTTTTTTTGGGGGGGGGGCACCTGTACCGAAGAGAGGGTTGGGGCGGACGGATCCGGACTTTTACTGCTAAGATCTGGTCTGGTTGATTTAGTCTCCCAAAGTGTTGTAAACCTCGCCTTCCTTCCTTTTCTCCCCCTTTTCTTCTGAAGACACACATTTTAAAGGGGAAGAAATATTTTGTTTGTTCCTGGCTTGTGGCGGGGTGGTAGTGGTGGTGGTGCACTGCCCGGTTTGTATGGAGATCATCGCAGGAGGTGTCGTTCTCTGGGCAGCGAAGGGTTATCTCTGAACTGGCTGCTCCCGCGACTGCTTCCTGGGGGCAGGAGGGGAGGGGGGGGAACCTGCACCAACCTTGCTTCCTGATTTAAATTGGAAGGGGGGACGGAAGTTTAGAGCGCTTTGATTTAAAAATCAGGCCGTTTGATTGAGGGATCGCTCCCCCCGAGTTCTGAGGAAATGAGCTTAAAACCGGAGGGGGGGGGAAGCAAAGTAGAAGAGAATAAAACGAGTGCGGACAGTCGCGGGGTGAGGACACAGGATACCATCTGCTGTTCCCTCACTTGTGTGATACAGGCCACCCCCACCTCTTTCCTCCTAAATTTAGTCTTAGCAGGGGCAAGAACAGAAGTGGCTCTACCGGTCGGGTTTTATTTTATTTTTTTTTAAACAAAAGCATTGATTTGCTTCTTGAATCAAGGACTTCGCTTCTCCGTCCTCGCTTTGCGCCCATCGCATATAAGTACAGTACTGTCTGCTGGGCCTTCTTCCCATCCGGGCTGCCGCCGGTGCACACCTGCTCCCCTTCGATTGCCTGGTGAACGCCCTCGGACTGGTTTCAAAAGAAAGGAGCATCGGAGCGGGCTCCAGGTGTGAAAGAGAGGGAATCCCACTTCCCTCTCTTTTTCCCTTTACAGGGGTGGCTGTGCAATTTCCACTTGGAAGGGTGGCTCTTGCTCGCTCAGTGGAGCTGTGCATGCAGCAAACTGTGGTAGAAGGAGCTGAAGGAATGCCAAGGGAGTATTACAGAGTGTACCACCCCAGCCTGCGAACGGGGAGGTGCACTTTTGAATCCTGCAACTCAGACAGAGTTGGCATGCCAAGGAGAAAGATTCTGATCAAGCCCTTGGTCAAAGGTGCTGCGTTTCTCTTTGCAGGAAGATTTTAAGTAAGCAAGTGCTTGAAACCAGGATCCCCCTACCTGCAGTCTAGAGGGAGAGAGCCTCCTTCAGTGGCCTCTTTTTGCTGCTTGTCTAGAGCAGGCCAAAAGGGTTTTGAGCATAGTGGGGAAACCTGTGGCCATCATCCATTTTGGGACTCTAATCCCCATCAACCTGTACATGGACCATGTGGCTGGATTAGATGGGATCTGGAGGTTTCCCATGTCTCTTGTAGAAAAAGCAGAAGGGAGGGAGTACAGCAGATGAAACTGTGTAATTAACGGCTTTTATTAGTGCTAATAGATAGCATACTTAAAGCTTTAATAAATTAGCCATGCCAGTGGAAAAATACCACAATGTTTCTAGTAAACCTTCTTTTCTCCTCTTCTTTTATCAGCTGCTGATCATGAGGGAGAAAGCTAAGGCGCGGAAAGGAGGCTTGGATCCTTCGCTTTGAACCACAAGCTGTCTTGTGCATCTGACGCCACAGGAGACATGGATGTTGCCTAAATAAACTCTACCCTTGATCTGATGCTATGCCTGCCCTGTGCCATTGGCTTGAGGCCTGTTAGGAACAAGGGATGGCTCTGTGTTGAGGATTTCTGCTTATGTGGGAGTGAGTAAGTTTAATAAATAAACAGGCAAGCCCAAACTTGAACTTGAGAGTAGAGTTGGGGAAGTAATGGATGACTTCACCACCCGGACATACGGGACCAGAGGACTGGACAACAGGCCCCTCTTTGGAGAGACCTCGCCAAGGGTAAAAGAAGTCTATCGCACTTTGCTTGTCTGTTGTGTCTTTTGCTCTCAAGAATCTGGGCCTGCTGGCAAGGCCAGCTGAAGACAATTTGCTGCTTTATATAGCTGCTTGGATGTACAGCTAATGCTAGTTGCAAGTCAGCTTGATCATGGGTGTATGCAATCCATAGTTTGCACCCAGCATTCCCTCCAATGTTGTATGAATTCTTGGATATAATCCTTTCATTATGTGCCAGTTCACGGTCACTTCTAAAGAAGTACTGTATCTTCTGAGATTTCCATCCCCCCCCTTCTTTTATCAATTAACCTCCCTATTACCTACCAGTGGATGTGGTGGAGAGGTTGATTTACAGAAGGAAAAATCACTAGTTGTACGTTCCTCCTTATGGCTCTTCAGATTTTCATTGGAGTGCCATGCTAGTGGCTGGTGGTATCTGCTGCATCCTTTACGTCAGAGAGGCTGTGATTGTGTAATGTACAAGAACCTTGTAGCACTTCATGTGTTTAGCATGTAGCGTTCAAAACTCTTACTCTCTTGTGGGTTTTTCTGATAAAGGCTACCTTGTGATAGCGCCGTTTGGCAAAGCATTTGCTGTGACCGACATACCTTGGAATTTCCTTGTCAGATGGGATTATTTCAAGGTCCTATCTCTTGAAGAGCTTGGGGTTTTGTGACTTTGTGCTCTTGCTAATCGAGCTATGGAACTAGAAACTTGGGAAAGCACAACGTATCATGTGTCTCCATGATACTTGCCGTGCAGGTTTTTTTTGGAATGTGCTCATCTTGAGTTGCATGGTATTTCTTACACAATCTTATCAAAATCAATTGGTCTGTTATAAGAGGGAGCCATACAGAGCAATAAAAAAAAATAACATTTTCGGTAGTTGTGTTTATTCTTGTTCAGTGAGCCCTGGATAAGTTGCTTCTTTGCAACAGCTTTATCTTAGTTCTGCTGTGTTTCCAGTGTCTCATGGTGTCATGATTTAGCCATGCAGAAATGCCTGGTTGATATCTTGCTTGTGTCATGTGGACAGTAGATTGCATATTGCTGTCAGTAACCAGTAATGATCCTGGTCATACCTAGGCTCTTGCCAGGTAAATGTATTATGATCCCTCTCCACACTTGAGCCCATGATGCCCGTGGAAAGATGTACTTTTGTTGAGTACATCTTAAATGTTAGCAATTGGAAGTGTGTCTTATGATGCTGTAGTGCATTGTTTCAGAGATGTACCCAGATGATACTACATGTGCCTTGGGATGTATCATGACGTGTGTTCCAGCATCTGCTGGGGTTATATAGAGCAGAGGTGGGCAGTAGGGGCCCTCCAGATATTTGCCCACAGGTCCCATGATACCAAGACATTTCAGGTAATACTGAGGTTTTATGGGAGCTGCAGTTGAAAAGCATCTCTAGAGACTCACAATGGTGGTCTGAGTTCATTGAAAATAGGACAGTGTTCAGTGGCAATTAGTTTTCTTTGTGTATACCATAACTATGACTGTTGTTTGCTGCTTTATAAAGCTTTTATACTGTATTTTGCCTTTTTTCTAGCTCAGTTTTAAATTACAATGGACCTTTCTGCCTCCTTTCTTTTCTAGCTCCTACTTTCATTTTTTTTCAATAAGTGAGATACATATTTTGAAGCATCCAACTTCTTAAACATTTGTGATGTGTACTCTATGGCCCTCCAGACAGATGTTTATATCTGATTTCCCAGAAACCCTGGCCAGCCTGGGCAACGGTGAGGCACACTGGATGTAGTTATCCTAAATCTGGAGGGTCAAAGGATCCCTATCTTGTTAGAGAGAGATTTTTTTTCAATAAGTGAGATACATATTTTGAAGCATCCAACTTCTTAAACATTTGTGATGTGTACTCTATGGCCCTCCAGACAGATGTTTATATCTGATTTCCCAGAAACCCTGGCCAGCCTGGGCAACGGTGAGGCACACTGGATGTAGTTATCCTAAATCTGGAGGGTCAAAGGATCCCTATCTTGTTAGAGAGAGTGTTACATAAATGAGATAAATATTTTGTTATGTTTTTAAAAAAGAGACATAGAATTTTGTTTATATCTTAAACACTAATATGAGAACATTGGAATGAGATAAATATTTTGTTATGTTTTAAAAAAAGAGACATAGACTTTTATTGTTTATATCTTAAACACTAATATGAGAAATGATGACATATTCAAAAGGGATTTCCTTTGAAAAGGAAGCACAAAGTGAAAAGAAAAGTTTGGGAGGAATAATGCACATGGTTGCACTTTATCTTAACGTTTAAGAGATACTATACTATTGTTCCAAAAGTTTATAAGCAAAAGCAATCTCTCAACAAAACCTGTGAACTCAATGTTTTTTGAGAAATTAATTGATCTTGTTAATTTAGCTGTTATTTGTGTTTTTAAGAATACCATTCTGAGGTTTGTGGTATATAGCTCATTGGTTTAGGTATCCAGCTTTGGAGCCAGAGGCTGGGTGTTCGATTCCCCACAGTGCCTCCCTGGCAGGGGCTAGACTTAGTGATCCATAGGGTCTCTCCCAGCTCTGTAGTTCTAAGATGATGATGAATTCTTGATAAAGAGCTATATTATTAACCTGCCTCATGGTCCTACTTGAGCAATTCCTCCTAATCCAGAATGTAGAAGTTGCTTTTCCCTTTTAACATTTATTTTATAGTGTGAAAAGTGATCATAATAACTTGGCTATTTTTTTGCTTCTGTAACCTTTTGAGGTGATCTCCAGAAATGCTCAAGTATGCCATGAAACGACAACAAGAAATGAAATACAGTGGTGCCTCGCTTAGCGATGTTAACTGGTTAAAAAAAACAAAACATCGCTATGGGGAAACATGGCTAAGCGAAACACCATTTCCCATAGGAATGCATTGAAAACTGGATAATCCGTTCTAATGGGAACGGATTACCGTCCTTAAGCGAAAATCGCCATAGGAAACATCGCTAAGCGAAACGCGATTCCCCCATTGGAATGCATTGAATAGGTTTCAATGCATTTCAATGCTTTTGACAGGTCCGTTTCCACTGTTTTTAAAGTGTCTTAAAATGTTCGAAAACTGTTTAAAATGCTTGGAATCATTAGTGCACCTTGTAAAACCTTTGCAAACTTAATTTGGCTTTGTTCTGAGTCTTCGTTAATTTTTGGTGAATTCCCCCCCCCCTTGGAATGCATTGAACCCATAGATGTTGTTGGGCTGCAATTCACTATTGGCTATGCTGGCTGGAACTATGGGTCTTGTAGTCTGTCATCTGTGAGCACATGGTTGGAAACGGCTGACAAAATATATAAAGATCATCCCACTTTGGGTTATGTGGAACCTGAGTTTTTTCTTGAATGAGTATCTTACCACCCTGTTTGAAAACGTTTACTCAGCTTTGTCCAGAATCTGTTCAATCTCTGCTTCTCTCCTCCCTTTCCGTGCTTGCTTTTGCATCATCCTGTGATTTATACTCCCTTCCTTTCATCTGTTGCTTCATTTGCATGGTGATGCTCAAACATGGATGACATTTGGACTGAGTAGAACTTTGTCATAGTTGCAAATGACGCCCTGTTGTTGAATCTTGGAGATGAAAAGAGCTTATAAAAGGAGTTGTTTGCTTGTGTGAGCTTGTTCTGGTACTCTGAGGCCAGGGCTGGTTTATGTTTTGTAGCTACTCTGTTGAAGCTACTTTAAATTTTATCTTGAAAAGAAGCCCAGAAAAGTTAATGTTTTGCTAAATAAATAAGTGATCAGCTTGTTGGGAGCTGGCAGAAGACGGGTGAAATTTTCTTCTGCATTTCTATGCTGGATACAAAGGAGGGACTATGGTGCTCCATTCCTTCTTTAGCAGCCTGTTCTCCCACCAGTATAGAATTAGCAATGTACCAGTTGGCTGCAGATTTCTGGGAGCTGTTCTCCAAAGAGAAATCACTTTGCAGGCTTGGCTTAGTGCTCTTGCCAGTATCTCCCATGCTAAGGCTTAAACACTTGGAAATTGCTTGATGGAGCAATGGATATGTGCAGTGGCTGAGATGTGAGAGTGCAGCTGCCCACTAGGTTTATTGAACAATGGTCACTTCTTTGCCTGGGACTGCAACAGGGCAAGCCAACTGAAAGAGAGAGAGAGAGGTGTACACACCTCTGTATGTATGTCTGTATGTCTGTATGTATGTATGTATATATATATGTATATATGTATGTATGTGGTGGAGTGATGTGTGTGTATATATTGGTGGTGGGGTGATGTAGAGCAAAGCAAAGGGTGGTTTTAAAAATGGAGATGTTCAACATGCAGGACTGCAGTGGCAAAATCTGTTTCCAGCTGACTTCCCCCAGTCCCACATGGGCTGACACTGTGGCAGGCAGAACAAAATTATTGTATGGATGGATATACAACAGTCCTGCTGTTGTTTTGTCAGTATCTGCTGTGAGTCTCCCAGTGAAGAGGGAAGCTGTAGCTAAATGTCAGGTGAGAATTTCCCATAGCACATCTGGATTATGGCACAACAGGAGGACTCTCCTACTATGCTAATTTGGATGTATACAGGTGTAACAAGCTATTTCTGTTAGCCTTAAAACAAAGACGGACTCCTCATATAAGATAGGAGACCATATTGCATTTCCTCAGCAAGCCAGTGCCCTTTCTCCTACATTTCTAGTAGACTGCCTGCTTGGAAAAGTTGCTTCTGAAACTACAGCTCCCCAGCTGGCATGGTCAGTGGCACTTGGGAGGCTATACTGTTGTTGCAAAATAACTTTTCCAAGCTCTCCTTTCAATTCTTAAGAAGTGTGGAATAATCTGTTAACTTGTACAGTGGTGCCTCGCTTAACGAGGATAATCCGTTCCAGCGAAATTGCTGTAGAGCGAAATCCTCGTTAAGCGAAATAAAAAATCCCATTGAAACTCATTGAAAACCCGTTCAATGCGTTCCAATGGGCTGAAAAACTCACCGTCCAGCGAAGATCTTCCATAGGGGCAGCCATTTTCTGTGCCTGTAT